CTTCCTTTCTGGAGGCATTCGCAACACATGCCCAAGCCATCGCAGCTGTGACTTCTCAATCTGGAGAAGGAAAGGTTGTATTTCCTATATTCTGCGCATATATAATTTGTAAGGAATGTACGATATGACATGCTGTTTGTATATAGCGCAGTATGTCAGTATATCAAGTAGTACATGTACAATTTCATACACTATGTTATTTGCTATGCCGTGTACTGTTATTGTGTTAATTATTGTTCTACTTATAGTAAAATAGTGTACGGTATTTCTAATTTAGCGGATCCTGATCTAGCGGGCTTCTGATATAGCAAGCGAAATTTTCCTTTTACATTGTTAGTACCGCTATTTCCTCCTCATTCTTTGCCATAAATAAAGAAATCACTGACAATAATGAGGAAAGGCCACCAAACTGCTAAATTAAATTGTCTCGATTGCGATCTAATCGTGACCGCTTGATTTCTTTTAGCGACAATCTTCTGATCCGAGCGTTCAGCCGTATTGCTCTCACTTCTGAATTTTCAGGAAGATTATTATTTGTAAGCAGCAGTCTTCCAGAACAGAATTGAAGCTAGATGATTTCTTAAAACCAATGAGCCATCCAAATTCTAATTCACTTAAAATTAGTACCTTCTGTTGAGACGATACCAATCTTTCTCCAGATCATCGAAAGAGCAAAGTGATTAGTCCTCTGACGAAGAATAGATATAATATGTTTTCTTCGTTAATTTTCGATAGTATATAAATGCCATAAATTACAAATACGATATGTATTGGATATTTGTTTTGCAAGTAAACAAAGTTCTCGCTATGCCTTAAAATATGTTAGGGGTTATTTAACGGATCCCACATCATTGTGATTTCATATAAAAGCTCTTTTACGAACGCTTCAATTTACGAACTTTCTCGTCCCCCAAATAGTTCGCTAAATCTAGGAAATATTGTATTGTCGAGCTTATTGTTAACGGCCTTATATGCATACAGTACATGAATTGTGTAATGCACCATACCGCACCTTGGAAGTGACGTATTAGTTTATTACTGTAAAGAGGATTAAAATCTATATCTCCTTGCTCTGAACGACCTCTTAATGGCTCCAATCTTTGTCATGCGATCAGTGTGTATATCTCACGAAATTTCAGGAGGTGGTTTGTCATCGCGGGGTTTTCATTTTTTCGCTAGATGATCAGGTGAATGTTTTTGGGTTAATGACTAGTGTTTGTAGATATGGTATTCAAATGCATATCATATTCTTTTCATCGTTGCGTTAGGTTCTATATTTTGACATAGAATCGTATAGTACACAGTTTCATGTTTTGGTTGTTGTCTCATTTACACGCCGTATATACGAGGTTGCTTTTTTTTCCTCAGTGCTGCTGACTTGCTTTCATTGTTTAGCACAGTTACTTCTAGCTTATTGAAGAGCTTCGACTACTAGTCGTGGATTAGTTTTTATGTAATCTTGCTTTATTTTAAGCAACTGTTTTAATTAATTAATTTAATTTAAGAATGCATGGTAAATTATGAATGCTGCAGTCTGTACCGTGTTATACAGATATATTGCTAAACGTATGTCTTATAGTCATGCAAAACCCATTGTTGTTGGTAAACGGCTCTATGATTTTTGGCGATGTTGCGGTTTGCAAGTTTTTGGGTATTCTCGCATCGCTTTACGATGGGTCTTCAACCAGCGATTGTTCGACCGAGGATTACTGGATCGATCTGGCGGCCGAATATGGACGCGCGAGCGAGGACGAGGAAGCACAGAAAAAAATTTTGAAGTTATTCAGTGATCGTTTGGGCAAAACCGGGAAATTTATCAATGGATCTGACATTAGTTTGAGTGACGTCATGTTTTGGTCGTATTTGTCCCCAGCTGGAGCTATTTCCAAATTGCCGGACAATGTCAGAAAATGGCTAATTCGATGTTCTAGTCAGCCGTGTTTTAAAGAAACGAATGCGTCGCTCCATTTTTTCACTAATTTATGTCATCTTACTGGTTCTGAATCATCTGTCAAGGAGATGTTGTGAGTTGTTAGGTGAATTATTAAAAATGTTAAGTAAACTGTGAAGCATTCTTGTCTTTTAAGATGTACTGTTTATCTTCTTCTGCTTCATGGCGATCTTGCACCTTGTCACTGTTTCAGAGTTTGTCTTGTCGCATGTTAGTTTGTTTAAAAGTAGTTCACGCTGCATCTAAACGGTAGACGTTCACTTTATAAACTTCTAAAATTACCGCTACTTAATCAGCGGAATGTTGGTTTTCCATTTGTGTAGTACCTATCGGTAAGTGGAACAGAGAATCTGCTACTCAGCGTTGTCTGTTCTTATGGGGTTATGTGTGATAAAGTACCTCAACAGCGACTAACTTGACGCCGTGGTCGCAGCTACCACTATTAATCACTTTGAATGAAGTGAGAAGGGGAAGTCGTTAGGGAGTCTCAAAAGCTTCACAACTGTTATTTTGAGGGACTGCTTCCCAAACATCCTTTAAACTAAAGAACCCAGACTCGAACAGACCACCACTGAGGCGCATGAAAAGAATGCTTGCTTGTATGTATGACCGAATTGTTACCTGCTGACCATTTACAAATTCTATCCTCCCTTCGCAGTAGGGAATACACTAGTAATTTCTTCGGCCTTGCTCTACGCCAAGAGCTTTTTTCTACTTTGTTTACATGATGTATGATTTAGTTAGCATTCATGATTTAGGGGGAGTGTCAGGTTGTATGTCTAGAACGTTTGTTACGGCCACACCACAGTGCAATGCGATCTCTGTTATTCACAAGTTACTGCTTGTTGTCTCCCATTTCTTTTCTGCTGGCATCAGAGAACATAGTGTTAAATTCCTTGCTCAAGAATATTAGCAGTTTAGAAGAGAAAGTTTGTACGAAGTGCTACGGATTGGAACTTGCCATTTGCTGAGTGTGAAGCCAACTACTAGCCATATCTCGTCCAACTGTGTATAAGGACAGTAGAAACGTATATGTGACGTTAACTGTCATGAAATCATTAATTAGCGAGTATCTGCATTGAACGGCGGTTCCGACAGAATACAACTGTGTATGCTTTAAATGGTCAGGTAATCACTAGCGTTTATTGTTAATTTAATATATTCGGATGTTCCGTTATGTACGGTTTTTAAGTAAAGTTCTCATAGAATCTTCAGACCTATTTGACCTCTGTCTTCAACATGCCGTTCATGAAAGGGCTGATGCCGATAAGGCGAACATTCTACTATCTCGAAAAGGGTGACATTTTCTTGCGAAGTCAAGTGCGCATCGTGCTTATGGCCTATCATCCAACCAAGAAGAACAGTGAAGGAGCGAGGTAGGCCGCCTTTTTTGTAAATTTGCCGTTTAGTGTATCTTTACTTGGTTTCTTAAGGGATTTCGTTTTCTGGCACTGGGCGCAGCTGCAACACAAAAATCCTTATGTTCAGCTAGTTAAATCAATGAAAGATTGGCCAGTCCCGTATGTACGGGCCTTTCTTGGTAAGTCATACATGAGGACGTTTCCCAATTCTCTATAATTTGACAAACAGGATATTTTATCTTAGCAGAATATTTTGTCTAGTGTGAATCCATTGAATTAGTCTCAAGCAGGATAATTAATTATGTGTCAGATGTACTCATGATTTAACTGTTTGAGCTCACGATTGAGGCATGTTCATAAGTCTTACGGCACCTACACAGAGTTAACAATGCACTAGAAAGAATGTTTGATCTTTGTCACCACAAGTGCATCACTGTTCTTATGTTCAGTCTGGCTTACAGAAAGGGGTTCAGATGTAAGCCCGCCCTGGTTCGTTCTGTTAGCTCATTGATTGTTTTTTCATATTAATGATAAATGCTCTTCAGTTTGCCATGTTGCCTGTATTTTTAGTCCTTCTGTTCTCATATTTTTGTAGAAGTTCTTGTCAAACTGCTCAATCTGTCCGTCCTTTTTTGTGACTGTGTTTTTAGACGATGGCAAAGACGTGGTGATGGATATTGAAAACTATGACCGACAACAGGTCCATGACAGAATACAGAAGGTCATCGGGAAGAATGAGTACTGAATATGTGTTGTGTTTCCGGTTAGCAAGTTCGTTTTTAGGAATATGCTTGTGCGTGAACACATGATGCAGGCGAAAATTGATAATCCTGCAAATTTCGGCGACACTTATCCTCGCCAGTGTATTTGCGAAATGGCAGGCCAGGTGCCTTGTCCATCAATCCTTCCTTTGCCAAAATATCTCCGTGGGAAATGGCGATGGAACAAAAATTTACCATGAAAACCGAAGTGCCTGACTGTCGAGGCGAGCGATCATGTTTATGAAACGTTTGTAAAGCTTGCATTTTTGTACTACAGAGTTTCGAGAAGCTGATGACGTATATTGTGGAGAAGGCATGTAATCTGTGGACTAGTCTATTACAGCATTGAAGTCTGTGATAGACTTCTAAATGGCAAAATGTCAAGTGATAGTTTTTCCTTCTGTGCTGATCTCGAAAATAAAGATGCCATCATTCATTCATAAAGCTGTTGAGACGGCAGTATGGTCACGAAAAAATATTTGGATTGTCTCTCGGGCTTGTCTGATTCTAATAATTCTGCCTAAGTTCATTTTTTTTCTAGTCATTTTCTATTGCTTAGCACCTTCCGTTCAGTCTGGCATGTTGATTAGGGCAAGAAGAAAAATATTTAGCCTTTGGGATATCGATGTTCCTTGCGGTTTCATGATTCCAGTCCTTTTTCATGAGATTATGGTCTGGAGTTGATCTGCGTTTCTGTCCCATCGCCCCCAGCTGTTTCTTATTTTAAAAACAGCTAAAAATGACATTTGAAATATAATATTTTCAGTAATAGTAATACGGTTCTGCTATGCGAATGCAAGACCACAAACTGTAAATGAGCATGAGACAAGACAGGCAGCGTAACAGGAAAGACACCGGTTAATAGATGCTCTTCAAATTGCACAACCACACAGCGAAGAGCGCAGGAGAAAACTGACTGCTCAAGCACAATGTGCAGATGAAAAACGAAGCAGGACACAAACCCGCTTGTTAAGCTGAAAGATTAATGATCGCGGCTTACCTTCAGCGACATGTCGTAATGGAACACTTGGGAAGAAAAGAAAGCCTCAAGCCAAGTTAAGGAACAGTGCAAAGACGACACCCGGAGCTGTACAGCACGCGACTGAGGAAGAACATGCCCGGCATCGTCAGAGAAAGGCATTGGCTGAAAAACGTCAGAGAGGCATTAAACTTTTCAATTCTGGGACAGTGTCTAAGGACAATGCGCAGATTCCATGAGCCAGTTACTCTGAAACAATTTAGCCAGTAGCAAGGACACAAAGCCTGCCCTCTGCCTGCACAAATACCAATCGCTGCCGATAGCACAAAAGACTTTAGAAGCGAATCCAAATCTCGGTCTTAAACAATGGTGGTTGGAGGCAAGTGTAATCGTCGATTCTTGTAAATTAATTGATTGACTACTTTTTGCGTTATGTATAAACAATTAGTGCTTTATAATGTTGCTTTGACTTTTGCAAATACTGGAAACGCCTATTCCAACGAGATATATTAAGATATCTCGCTGGGATTTACGAGTTTTGTCACATGGATCAGGTTTAAATTTTTCTTTAATTTACGTTTAATCCCTTTCCTGATTGTGTATCACCTCTCTGGTGAGTCAAGGTGAATAATGGCAGGAAAGTACACTGTCAACGGGCATGGCTGTGCATCTGGAACAGTTTAATAAGATCACGCGAAAGCAACATGCCATTTATTGTTCGCAGGTCAAAGACCTGCCATCCGTGTTTCGACTGGTTGCATCGAAGCACAGTGAAAAGAATCTATGATCAAATCAGTTAACAGGTAAGTAAAATTTATACAGTGCTCTTTGAGATTTAATGCGGTATATCTAAAGTGCAAAGCAAGTAGTCCGTACCGCTTTCCCCATTATTTCATCATCAACGTTGTTGGTATCACAGTGCGTAAGGTTGCATATATTTTTATTTTCATAGCGGTCACTTGCCCAAGCAGCTGGCACATATTTGATTTAGCCAATGCCGAGAAAAGTTTGGTTACAACAAGCGAAGTGTAAAATACAACCATCCACGTCTGCAAGTGCTGTACTCCCGCTTGTGTTTCTGGCTTCAAACATAAATATCACGTAAACAGCCACAAAGAGCAGGAAGCATTGAGTTTTGTATGGAACAAAGCGACCATACAATGTGTAAGGGAAGAAAATTAGAACGGGTTCCGAATGAAGGTGCATTAGGCAGAAAAAAGCGGCTAATTCAAAATTATTCGATATGTGCTTTTTGATTGGTTTCATGTCTCTGAAATCTCCGCATACAAGTTCGCTGTCATTAAAGCATGATTAATTGTAACTGTCCAAAAATGGCATGATTTGAATATACATTAAAGGGATACAAGGAAATGTTGCGCGCTGCTGTGAATGATCTGAAACTGATGCTCATTAGAACTTTGTATATAGTATATATAAATTGTTACAGTGCTGTATTGAGTGCATCCACGGAATATTCTGTCTTGCAGGATGATTTTGAGAAAATGCCTATGAAGAAGTGAACGCAGCCGACATGACAACTAATTTTAGGCAAATTTTTCTTAACTTCTGACACAGAGGTACAAAAAATGCATAATAAAAGAAGTGAATTTGGAATGGAAAAATAGCTAACACGGGGACTTGAATGCGGCAGACGCAGAATTACGTTTGCTGCAAAATTCTGAAAATTTGTGACGGTGAAAAAACGATTCGAAGTTTGTAAAATCGTCCATTTGAAATGATGCAGATATTTTGCACCCTTAAACACCACGTTGCTTGTACGCCAAAAATGATATTTTTTGGCTCCCGTGACCAAACTGCGTCAACAAATAAGGAAGTATATAAGCGGTTTTGCATATACTTAGAACTGATGTATTTTTCATGGAATACGACGCTACGACATCATTTCTTCGTACTTTAGCACTTCTAGAAAGAGTCGTTGACGCGAACATTCTCTTGTAAAATTCAGATCGATTTTCACGAGAAGACACTGCATACGGAGGTAACTGTATGCATATTCTCCTACCTTTCTGATCATGCTCAATCCTTCTTCAGGGAGGGACATGAGGTAAAACAGACAAAGCTGCAGCGCCGTATTTTTGAAATTTAGTATCTAAAATCATTAGTTGCTGAATCCCTAAAAATTATTTTACCATATGCACCAAAATTTAGGAATAAATGCTCTGCCAGATGTCCTCGTCGTTCCTGTGTCGATAAAACTATTTTAGGAGCTTTGCAAAGTTTAGGTAGTCATGTTCAGGAATCGGCGTGGCATGGCATGACTGTTACGCTCAAATCTATAAAATTTTGAATGACTTTGACAGTCCGTTCTCAAATTTTAGAATACTTTATTTATAGAACGTGGTTATTACATGAATGACCGTTTTTCTTAAGACGCACAAGACTTTTCATCCTACTCAGCATTTCAATATTTAAATATTTCTGAGTTAGGCATAGAAGTTAGGAGAGAGAAATCATGCTCAAATCTTTTCTGGTAAAATTCTTTTTTTAATCTCCGAATGAATGGACAATTTACATTACTCTATCATAACAAAAATAATAACGGAGTTATAACTGCTCAGCTGCATAAAATTAATTATGCGTCAGACAGCCTAAGGAGACTGCTTCCAGTTTGCCACGATACGATGCAATTTGAAAACCTCCGTAACAATCCTTTACAAGGCTTTTATAAGCGAATAAAATCACTAAACCTGCAAATCACAAAACAGTTGGTCGAAGACGACTTGCTGTCCTTGCTCTATCCGTTGAAATTTGGAGTCTATATTCGGACGTCGAGGGAAGGTGAGATTTAAGAAAGTTAATTTTGCACATATCTGGCGTGATTGTACATCTATTAGAATTTTATTCAAATAGCCTTTATAAACAGTATTTCTGGGTGGAGTATAGCAGTAGCTGAAGCCATGTGATTGCAAAATTGGCCGTAGATCGGTTGGAACGTTTAAGTGAAGCACAAATTTAGCTCATTTGTCACTAACTTATTGAAGTAATGAGTATATTTACTGTATTACTCTAATCTTTTGGATGCCAACCGTCTTTTCTTTTCGAGCAAAGGATTTCTCACCGATGACCTGCTGTTGTAATTGTCGTTATCGAAGACAGACATGAGTCGAATAGCTGTTGAGGCTGGTGATATTTGCCATGGCTGAAACAGCATTTCCGATATATATTAGATGCAATGATAACTGGAAATTTCACTTTATCGTACTCTGGCAACTCTGCCATTGTCGGTCTCGAACTCGGA